TGCTGGATGAACGTTTTATACATGTTTTCAATGATTTAAACTGTATATGTATTTTATATCTACAAAATGTGTTGGGTGAAACATGGGTAGATGTAATAGTTGCTGTGTGACAAAATAAAATAATGAGAGACCTCGTTATAGATGTTATTGATGATCCAGTCATCTAGCAGAGTATAGATGACAACCACAGACTATTCTAGATTGTCCAGTGGAACACTAGCAGACTCGCAACCTGTAGGTGTTTATTTGAACTGTTTGCTCACCAGATGTACTCCATCCCCCACATGGTTGCCTTAAGGCCATTTATTGCTGAGGAATCCCCTTAGCAGTAGTGTCCATCTCGATGGTAGTCCTTAGACTAGGTCCCTTGTGTTAGATGTTTTTGGGACGTAAAGTGAGGATAACGGGAACGGGTAATCGGGTTTGTTTGGTTTGATAAAGCTAATAACTTATTTATTGTGGGTTGAAAACCCTATGTGCTCACCAGGCTCCCAAGCCTGACCCACACAGTTTCTTGTGTTACAGGTAGTGGCGCATAAGCATAGATGTGATGTCTTGGGATGAGAGATTAATGGATTTTAGGCCTGTAAATACGGAATAATGTAGTAAGGCGTATGTTGTATTGTTTATGCTTATGATCTGTATTGAACATCACATCCCAAGTCTTTTTAAATGAAATACATTTCTACGGAAATGCTTTTGATATATCTTTATCATATTTTGTTTTGGGACAAATTCCGCAACACTTTTATTTAAAATATTACTCTGATTTTTAAACAAAGCATAAACAAAATCGGTCTTTTCTGGCCATGAAAATAGGGATGTCACAGTTGGTATCAGAGCATTAGTTTAAGCGAAGTAGGAATTTGTAGGATTTCTAGACTTAAACTTAGAATGCTAAGCGATGATTGTGAGGTGTGAGCACTAGCTTATTTTAGGAATTATACCTAAAATGCTTTTATGTGCTAAATGCTTTGTGCCTGACACGCTATTATTTGTTCAGATCTATGGTTAGTTGCCGACCGGATCTAGAAACCTTACGTGTTTAGAATTCTAAGCGTTTAACTACGATATTAGAACTAGCATATAAACGTTTCGGAGTGATAAGGATGATTTAAACGTCAATCCTAAATAAAGATCTAGATTCACCTTATTCGGTGTATAGATCAAGATGGCAAGGACCCGTAGCGGAAACGTGAATGCAAATGGGAACCGAGATCAGCCCCCACTGATACAACAAATACCAGTCGTAGTAGAAGTTGCACCTGAGCCAATCACGATGGCCGGAGTGCAAGCATTGATCCAGATGATGTTGGATCGTCAAATGGAGGAAACAAGGAATTTACTTCAACAAGCTCGAGAGGAAATTACGATGCCTATTAAATAGCCCGAGCTGAATGACGGGCAGTCTGAGGAAGGGAACGACAGCAGGACCGTTGGTCAAGCTGATCCCCTGGTGATTAGGAGGAAAAATCATGATGAAGGAGTCGAGAGGAATGGATGCAAGTACAAAGATTTTCTTACTTGCAAGCCATCGAATTTCACTGGGAAGGAAGATCCGATTGGGGTCATGGATTGGATCTCAGAGATGGAAGCCTTCATGACATGTGGTTGCAAAGGCAAGCAACAAACCACGTTTGCAGTACGTCAATTCAGAGGAGGCGTTGTTCGCTGGTGGAATACCCTAGGAAAGACTTTGAACCCCAATGAGCCCCTGCAACTGGCATGGGCAGAGTTTCTGGTGCAATTTAAACGAACGTACTGCTCAGCTCAAAACTTACTCGAGCTAGAGAACCAGTTCCTAGCCTTGAAGAAAGGAAGCATGTCAATTGATGAATACACCAACAACTTTACAGAGAAGATGGAGTTCGCCTTGCGCCTTGTTCCGGATGAGCTGACGAAAATCGACAAGTACGCAAAGGGACTTCCATGGGAGTACGCGGTGCCAGTGCGCCAGGCACCTACTCTAGAGGCAGCTATCCGGGCTGCCAAGTCTTTGGAAGATATGATTAAGGGAAAAGCTGCCAACAAGATTGAGGTTGGCGAAAAGAGGAAGTTTGATGGGTCTACGAGGCCAATAAGAAGATCAAGTCTGGTTCAAAGGAGTCTTAGCGGAGGAGGAAACAAAGTGAAATGGTCCGAGAAGTGAAAGAAGAATCACTTTGGGAAATGTAGCGAAGAAGTGACTTGCTACAAGTGTGGGAAGACCGGACATTACGCCAATGAGTGCACCACCAGCAAAATGGTGTGTTATGAATTCCGTGAAGAAGGGCATGTTGCTAAGGATTGCCTTAAAAAGAAAGAGGCGGCAAGACCAAACATTCCGCCAAAACCAAAGGCAAGAGCATTCCATATGATCCTAGACGAAGCAGCTGACGATGCAAGGAATCAGGAGTGAGGATGGATACATGGAGATCAAGTTATGAAGAAGCCATGTAGATAGTGTCATATGGTGTAGCCTATTAGAGGCATAATCTAGGGTGAACTTGAACACCCATGTAATCGTTTCAAGGAATAATATAAAAACCTTCGTTTTGATATTTTATGTGTGATTTTCTTGCATGGTGACTTGGAAAACTATGGGATAATACTTGGGACGAGTATGAGCAGGTGTGAAAGGTAGTAGAGGCCTATACTACCGGAAGCACAGGACTCACACTTGGATCAAGGAAAGTCACAAGGTTACCAAGAAACTAGTAATTGATTTTGTTTTATTCAAGTATGTTGTTACCATTGTTTCGGTAATGACTAACAAGAGTTTTGTTATCCTGACCCTAGTGGTCATATCACATTGAGTCCGACTACGATGAGTAGGTTACGTGGTTCAGAGAACCAAGTTTGATGTAGCGTCCGACTTAAACCAAACGATTGAAATCAAAGCGATCAATAGAAGTATCACGCTCGTTGTTAAAGAAGTTGGTAGCTAGAAATGCTACATGATAAAATGTGATTATATCACATTAGACGATGAAGGAAGGCATATTCCATTCCAGAATTTGACTCTAAGAGACATGAGTCTAAGCATTGCTACATACGATAATAGGTCATTAGAATATTACACATCGGTCAATTATAGTAATCAAATTAACTTATCCTAAGTTTGTTAAGAAGAAGAAGGAGTCTCTAATAAATAATGAGGTTGTGAAATGAAGGTCATGATTGAAAGTCTCACAAGCAGGTGCAAGACCGAGCACCGCCTGCAGTCAAGGAGTCCAAGAGTTAGATACTCATTCGAAGCAACATAGAAGTTACAGTTATTACCTAGGATGAAGAGATAACGTATGGAGTCATTATACAATCCTATTTCGTTGATGATTCCGGGACATAATCATCCTAAGGGGGAGATAATTGTAACACCCGTATATCCGGGCTAGTTAATTTAGAGGCAATAGGGGTCGAAAACGACTTTTCGACAAAAGATTATTAAGAATAAATAATCTCAACCAAGTTTTAGTATATTTTACAAGGTTTCTGTACATATAAATAGCGTCGAAATCCGAGTTATAACGAAGAAGTTATGACCCATCGAAGTTTCGCAACGGAACCGACACGATACCGGAAGGCGTAAATAGTGAATTTACGATAGAGCAAGATTTAGCCTTAGCGATCTAAATGAAAGTCGTAGTATATGTTAAACCGATAGTGTGCATAAAAAGAACATCCAAATCTGACTTCGTATGAGGAAGTTATGATTTTTCTAAGATTTAGCATAGTAGTGCACAGCCCGAAATCTGAATTTTAGATCGGTCGATTTTTAGCCAAAATAATCTAAACAATAAGTGAAGATATCTTTAATAGGAGTTAAATGATAAAAAGACAGTAAAAAATGGAGCACGTATGCGAAAGATATGGACGAAGCTTAGTCCTTACTTTTCGAGCGCGACGAATTCGATACAATTTTGTAAATCCGAGATAGAATGAGAATTAGCCAACGAGGTCTAAATGAGAATTGAAGATCTCATTAATAGGAACTCAAAGGTAAAAAGACATATAAAAATGGAGCTCGTATGCGAAAGTTATGGACGAAGCTTAATCTCTACTTTTCGAGCGTGACGAATTCGATATAGTTTTGTAAATCCGAGATAGAATGAGAATTAGCCAACGAGGTCTAAATGAAAGTTTAAGATCTCATTAATAGGAACTCAACGGTAAAATGACAGACAAAAACGGAGCTCGTATGCAAAAGTTACGGACGAAGCTTGGAGACTACTTTACTATACAATTCCTATAAATAAGAGATGAACTCTTCATAATTTCCTCACACCTTCAAACCTTTCTTTCTCTCTCTAACTTCTCTCTAACCTCCCTAAATGCCTCACAAGTCTAGGGAACCTCCCTATCACGAGAAGAAAGCCCCGGAGCGCCCGACGGCTCCGAGAAGAAAAGCTTTCGGCTCGGAAACGCTGCTCCAACGAAGCTCGATTTTTAATAAAAACCTGCTGTAAGTGAGTTACGCCTATACTATATTTAATATAGCTTTTATTTAATTATAGTAACATTATTAAGACCTTAAAATAATTATTTGGGATATTATTATGAGTTATATTGAGTGTTATTTAACGCTTATATAATAGTAATAATAGCTAGACTATTAATTAGTCGCGATTAACATTAAAACTAAACTCTAGTGGTATTAATACTAGGTTTTGGTCACGGAAAAATTGTTTTGAGATAACGAAGTGCTGTTCAAGTACTGAGTCACCACCTAATCAAGTGAGTGCATAGTTACTTTCAGCTTACACATAGATATGAAGTATTTTATATAAATTACGTGCTATGTGTGCATATTATCTGAATACTTGCTATCTATACTGGATGAACGTTTTATACATGTTTTCAATGATTTAAAATGTATATGTATTTTATATCTACAAAATGTGTTGGGTAAAACATGGGTAGATGTAATAGTTGTTTGTGTGACAAAATAAAATAATGAGATGCCTCGTTATAGATGTTATTGATGATCCAGTCATCTAGC